AGGATTTTTATCAAATTCATTCAAAACCTTCTTTTGATCAAGAAATTAAAGTTAACATTTTAAACTCCCTCCCTGAATTAAAGCAGAGCCTTTTTCTCCCCTCAGAGCAGCGATCGTAGAGAGGAACTGGTCCCGTCTGGCACAGCTGATGGACCAGAACTTTGAGCTCCGCAGGTACGGCTGTCAATCATCATCACAGCATTCATGATATTTGCTGATGGATTTAAGCCCAGAGCTTCTGACCAAATGTAAAGGAGGGATTCCAGCTGTGAGCATGTTGGTAAAATCCAAACTAAACTCTGATCTCTTTTGGTTAGAAAGCTGCTGCTGCTCAAGCATTGGTTGATGAAATATCAGTTTCCTTCATTGTGTCGCATCAACATTTATTTAAGGTCTCTGGGATTTTATGATTGGACATGGAAGTCAGAAGAGGAGGAAAAGCAATGTCTGTTTTTTCATGATTTTCTGCAAATAGAAAACTAAAATATGTGCATTAATATGGCTTTTATTCTGTGTTTATTTATTTATAAGGAACAATGCATTTACAGAGGATGCATACATATTTGCAGAAATACTAAAACGGGATTTTAATCTGTTAGCTGAAATAAAAGGTGGAAATGATGAACTCTGACTCAACGTCCACCTTAAAAATCCTCCTAAAAAAATTCATTTCTTTTAGTATTTTTTTTATTTTCTAAAGCTTCTGGTGTTCTTTGGCTTTATTGAAGGGAAAATTAAATAAAATGAGCAGAATGTGCTTTTATTAATCTGTATTAATCCAGCACTGATGTGTTTATAATAATAATGCTTCTGCCTCCATCAGGGTCAGATATGAAATAAGCAGAGGTGTCGAGTAATAAAGTACAAATACTTTGTTACTTAAGTATATATTTTGGTTGTCTATACTTTACTGGAGTAATTATTTTTTTACAAAACTTTTTTCTTCTACTCCTTATAAAATAGACTCTTTATTATTATTTTTTTTAATTTAAGCTCATTTTCATTATGGCCTTTTTGAATAAAAAAAGACATCAAAATAATTAGTTTCATCCAGACAACTATTTTCTATGTGGTTGGACTCTTATCGATGCTTCACCATGAATCTGGTTCCCAGGTCGATCTACACCGATGACTGTCTGGGTCCCGGGAACCTCAGGATGGTTCAGCTGGCCAGACAGGTGGGTGTTCAAAGCTACCCCAGCGTCCCAGTTCAGACCAGAGCTCCCAGCAGGTGTTTACTCACAGCCTCTCTGCTGGTTCCCACAGTTTGGCTCAGCAGTGAAGTTACCTGGAAGCGGGGGGGCCGTGGTGGGGCTGTGTCTGGACCAGGCAAAGCTGGTAAGAAGTTCACAACACTGGAGGAGGTCCAGGTCCGTCCCACTGATCCCAGCTTCAGATCAGCAGAGAACCTTTCTGCCCTCCAGATCTATGAGCCTTTAAAAACAAAAACATTTCATGGTTTTGTGGTGATTTAATGTGACAGACCATGGCTGCCAGGAGGAGCAGGTTTGGTGTTCAACATTGTTGCGGATTCAGACAAGAAGGTTATAAATGCCACTAAGCTTTAGGGGCGTGAATACTATCAGGGCTCTGACTGATTGCTGATTCCAGCAACGAAAACCCGGAAAATAAAGACAGTGATGGAAAGATGGAGCAGCTCCACCTAACTCTGACAGAGGAGACATAAACGCATCTACTGCTAACTCTGCTGCAGCTAGCTGCCCCTAGAAGCTGGAAAATTAGCAAACTGAATATCTAGAATAGAATCCAACTTTATTGGATTATGACATCATCTTATGAACAACCCCAGGTGCACAAAGGAGGAAAAGGTGCATGAAGTATATACAGTGGATGGTAAAAAACAAAGGAGAGGTTTAAGGTGACTTATATACAGGGGCAGATTTAGGAAATTTAGGGCCCTAGGCAAAGACTGGCAGGGGTCCCTCTGAATTTAAAGGCAACAGATAAAA